CACTAACCCATATATTATAAAATTTATAATAATATATTTCTATCTTTATTCTAAAATAATGAGTAACTATAATAATTCAAAGAGTTATTAATTATTACTTTTATTATATTAATATAATTCACAGCTGGTAATATACTTTTATTTATTTTTGATCAATAGAATTATTAAAATATAGCTATATATATCTTGTTTATATTAACATATTCTATAATTAATACATTATAAAATTCAAATAAGATCTTTATTTTTAATATTTTATTATCAAATATAACTATATAGTTAATATTTTTAAATTAAATAAGTCTTCTTTCAACTCAAAATATTTTATCTTTACTTGTTATTTTAATATTATACTATTAAAGTTCTTTAATATCTCAAATATCTTTATAAAATATTTGTCTTCTTACTTCTAACTTAATTAATAAAATTAATAATAATAATGATAATATTAACTAGATATAATTGATAAGAAAGTATATTTGTGATAATATTATCTTTATCAGACTTATATTTTACTTTAAAGTTACTTGCTTATAATATTTCTAATTATCAAGTTTATCTTTTGTAAAGATTATATTATATTTTAATATATTTTAAAAAAGTATAATTTGTAATTATTATAAACTTTTAATCTTTTAGATATGACTTTTAGAGTCTAATAATATATATAATAGCTAATAACTCTTTTTTATATATAAGATAATTTAGTCAAGATGAATTAAATGATATAAAAATTGATTAATTTATTTTGATTAGTATTATAAAATGAATTTGCTACTTTAAGATATAATATTTTAATATTTAATAATCTGATTTGAATAAAAATATGACTATTTGATTTGCCTAGTCAAGACAAATTAAATAGTATTATTTTTGTTCAAATCAGATTACTGAATATTAGATATAGAGATATGTATTATAAAATAACTGATTATATTTGAAATCTGAATATATATAGAAGCTCTACCAATTTATAAAAGATATCATGATTAGCATTTGTAATATTCTTTATATTCAGAAAAATTTGGTGCATTATACATAATCTACAAAAAGTTAAGAGGGATCAGATACTTTTGCAAAGCATTATAATTCTATTGATGACTTCTTTTTCTAATAAAATGTTATATTCTCTCAAATTAATAAACAAATTATATTATAAAATTATAAATAGAGATTAAATCATCTTAGAGAATCTTCAGATAAGTTTTTGTATAAATTTTTTATCAGCAATATCATAAAATAATTTGGAATATCTTTTTTAGCTTCTTGTATAAGTGTATTTTTTCTTGGTTGTTAAAGTTTATAATCTTTTAGACAGTGATAAATTTATTTTTCCTATCTCTTTTGTACTTGGCAAGAGATTATTATACTCTTACCAGGTTATGGCAGTTTGCTTGGTACTCATAACTTCAATAAAATCACTATTTTTATCTTCATCAAAGATAGCCAATTGGTACGATAGTATCATATTTGCACTAAAAAAAATTTCGCCTAGTGTATTTTTAAAAATAAAATAAAAGAAGAAAATAATAAAAAAATTAGAGTCAACAATAACAAAAAGTAGTTAAACGCAAATTGGGCGTTACTTTTGTGGCGATTGTACTTAGATGCAATTGATATTATATGTATTTAAAAATAAAATTATGTTTAAATGTTTGAAATCTTAGTTTATGAATGAACGTTGGATGGATTAAGCAAAAAAGTATTAACACTGTATATTAATCTGAGAGAATTGTGTAAGAATAGCATCACCATCATACTAGTTCAAAGTATGTATGTCTGGAATAAGATGGTATCATGATCTCAATATGAACCGAAACATTAATTAATAGAAAGAACTTTCAAATAAATTACCCGAAACACATAAAAAAACAAAACTGGGAAAAAAGAAGCATTTTATTCATACAACTTTCTTGTGTTTTATATTAAGAAAATTTCTATTTGCTTCCGTTGTTATATTAAAATTTAAGTTTTAGATAGAAAAAGAATATATAAAGAGAGAGAAGGGATGAAACCATCAGTTTTTTAATCGTAAATTATGCATATTCAGAACATTTTTCAGCACAATTAATCACGTAATTACAACATATTTCAGCACATTCTGTTGTAAAGATAACGCACAGTTTCAGCATATATTATATTTTATTTTCTTACTTTAATCATGTAATAAGAATTATATATTATTAATAGTAGTATAAAATTAATGAAAAGTGTATCATATCGATATTGATTAGGCAGTTCAATTCAGAAAATGGAAACATATTATTGAAAAACAGATTGATTGGTTTGAAAAGTTTTGGAAAGGTTTGAAAAGCATTATTTAGATAAGATATTGTTTATATAAAACATAATCTAACTCTTTCCTTCTCCACAGAACATCTCGAAATTCATCTAAATTCCAATTCTCACATTTCCAAATCATTAATGTTCTGTAAAATCATTGAATATATACTGTATTATGAAATGCACATCGACAACTAACCACGTATCGATGGTACATGTAACGCATAATACATGTGCATGTATTAGTATGTGCCACATAAAGTTAATTTTATACTTGTACATGTACATGTGTATCGACGAGTTATTTTATTGGGTACTGTCTAGTTACAACAAGTTAGAGTTTAAGGTACAAATATTAACTTTCTATTAAAGAGAAATATTGGCATAAACCAAAAAGTTGACGAGACTAAATTAGTCAGAAAAAAGTAAACACATTTGGAATATCTGATATATTCTGAACCCATTTGAATACTCAAGCCAATCTCGATTTATTCTACATGCAGTTTAGTATAATGGATATTTGCGATATAAAGGACGAAAAGTATCCACTAAATTAATAAGATCATGAGAATATTTTGCTTTGTCTCGTAGTTGTAAAGCTTATTGATAATGAAAAACTGCCAAAAAATGAAGTTTCTCAAGCTATATCTACTTTCCAATAGTTTCAGAACTAGCCACTGTGGAAAAAGAATCATAATAGAAATTATCTGAGGAGTTAATAAGTTGAAAATGAAGTATCATCCAGGTTATGAATACAAAATAATTAAGTACTTTGAAACAAGGATGCTTAACGACTTGGCTAAGTCGAAAATTACTTCAAGTCGACTTTTATGCAGAGTCGGTCGATTCAAGTTAATAAATATTGATATTTAATAGATAACTTGAATGTATATATATATATATGTTAATAAATCAAATATAATTTCTTTAAACAATGGAGACTTAGACTTAAAATTTCGAAGAGTTCGAAGATGAATAATCTTGAAAATTATATAACTATAACAAATACAACAATCTGAAATTAAATAAACTAATTCTGTAACCTCAGATGAATATACATGTACTTCTGAAGTTTGGTTTTGACAATATATAGAGAACATTGTTACTGTTTAACATGGAAACTCTGTATTTTCGTTAAAAACTAACTAGCACGTCAAATATATGTTCATAAATATAATCTATTAAAACAAAAATCAAGTTCAATCAAATACAACATCACTGGAATTTACTTTCATATGATGACGATATTGAATCTTTAACATGGTGGAAAATGCATCAAACTCAATTTTCATTACATGTATTCTCTAATTTGGCATGAAATTACTTATCAATTCAAATCAGCTCATTCATTTCAAACAATTAAAACAATAGATTATAGTGTTCGTGTTTAAAGAATTGGATACGATAAAAGATTTGGAATACATAATACATATGCTTACGATATTTTATCCAATTAAATTAAACAGCTCATATGATCAATTATTTAGTCCTGAATTGATAAAAGTCGTTACCCATCCATCCTTTGGAAACATATATTGAATAGAAATATGTACAAGTCAGGGAAAAAATAAAATTATTTTACATATTAATTTCGTTTATAATTTTATTTTTGCAATATATAATTAAGGATTTATATTTTGAAATTGAAAGTAGAGTAGATTTTATATCTCAAGTTGTATACGATATTTTTTAGATAATACTTATCTCAAAGGATACCTTAGGAAACAAGTATTTGGGATTAAAAAATCTATTTACATTTATAATAATAACGAGTTTAGAGAATAAAGATCTTCCCGCTATTACTTTTCTGTCAGAACTGGATATATTGCAAGTAGTTTAATAAGCCATCAGCTAATTTTGCCTGCCAGCGAGGATTATATGAAATTTCTTCCTGGCTTGCTCATAAATGGATCTTACAAGTTGTTTAAATTGAAAATTACCTTCAAGAATAGCTCGCTGTAAAAAACTCATTTTTGCAATCCAAAAAATTTCTTTATTAATCCTTGAAATTCATATTTAAAATTTTACTGAATTCGTGTTATTTTCATACTTGTCATTAACTCATATAAAGTAAAATTTATGTTAAAGTCATATCCTTCTGTGCTAATTTATTTGACAGGAGGGTATTTTGCCGAATCATAATTAATGTCACAGCAATTATCTAAAATACTCTAGTAAATAAAATTCATCAGATTTCATCAAGATAAACTCTTTGTTAGCTATTTTTATAATTCTTCTTGAATTCTGATTTCAAGAAGGCTAGAGAATAAAGGTTAGCATACGTGGTAATCGAACTCATTATATTTTTATAAAAGAGCAAATCGATCAAATAAGTCACTTTTGGTTTTGTCTGCAGCTTTGCCTTCATTTTCATGCTAAATTGGTAGTCAATGGTCATTTGTTGCATAGGAATGCAGCAATGGTTGTCAAAAAAAATTGTTTAGCTGTTATGCTGAAATATATTATAAAAAGAATTTTTGAATATATGTAATCGCTACTTTATACAACAATTAAATAAATTATTCTATCGTATCTATTTAAAAATAATAACCGACATATTTTACAAATTGTTATATGGTAATAATCTTCAATAAATGCTCGATTAAAATGCATTTTCATGTGCACTACATGGGGCGAACGCAACGTGTATTTGTGCGCTCTATGTTTCTAGATATATTGCACATTTTTTATAATTAATTAAATGGCATCAAATGATGTCATTCTAATTGTGCAAGTTCAATACTTTCTTCTATAGATTGTCCTGTCGATTGTACGGATCCAAAACGCGAATGATGTGACGTGGACTGTTCTGACTGTAACCATCCATGCGACGAGGATGATGACGCTGCTATTTCTGCATTGAATATAACTTGTGGTGAAGTTGATAGTATTTGCGGTTGTTTTTGCATTTGTAATGATTCATCACCACCTTTCTTTTGTGCAAAGACTCGAGAGCTAATGGCATATGTTTTGTGCTCCTCAACTTCCTTGATGAACGTTTCAACAATTTCTTCGTACTGGTCATTTGTTATGCCCATTATCGGGACAAGGTGTTGCCGTATAAGACGATAAAACGTAGCAAAATTATTTATTGCCTTAAAGAAATAAATTATAACAATGAAGAATCAAAAATTTACAGTGCATCAAAAAATTTACGTTAACCAAGATACATACAAGTTCACCAAATCGTCCTCCCCATTTTCCAATCGGCTCTTTTCGTTCTTCTCGATGCACTTGCGAAGTGTTCATCTGATTCGTTGCTTCGAGATATCGTGGTATACGTGAAAATAACGAAGTTACGTTGTTTACTCCTTTTGAATGCGAGAATCCTTCATCTAAATTAAAGCAAGCTGATTATAATAAATTTCGAATTTACAAAGCCACAGATTTTTCCGCACACTTACAAAAATTCTGTAATTGAGATGCAGCTGGTCCTTGATTTTCAAAACGTATGTCCATCTCCATCTAAACAAAAATTGAATCAAAAAGTTCAGTCAATGACATATCTAACTAGAAGAACCGCCATACATGAAAAGTCTTACAAATTCAATCCAACCTCCAGGCTTTGTAACCCGAATTAATTCATTTATCACTGTTTCTTCCCATTGTTTATCAGTATATTCCATGGCCGAACATCGCATATAGACAAAATCAAACGTATTGTCCGCGAAATTTAAACCTTTTCTCAGATTTCCTTCAACAAAAGCAACATTACGTGGTTTAACCTCGTTTGGAAACATTGTGGAGATATCAACGCCTGTAAAATGCGATAATTTATATGTAGTTGCCATTTCAAGGATCCATGTTCCCGGTCCACACCTAATTAATTCCAGCGAGAAGGAATTAAAAAACAAAAAAAATTTAAATTCACACTTCGTAACAAGTATCTTACCCAACATCTAAAACGTGCAATCCACCCGATGTCAATGAATCCTCAATTGGAGATGAATAATTACTCTGCCACAAGGATCGAAATAAATAATGCAGAGTTTGCAATCGATCAATTTCTTCAGGGATTGGATAAACCGGATTCTCGCTCACTGAGGGGAACAATTTTCCACTGGATAACAATAACGTTAGAGACTGTGATCGTCGAATTTGTCCTTCTGGTGCCGAAGTTGTATTATTATTATTATTATTATTATTCGGTATGTGTGAAGGTGGCACATTATCATTGTCAGCATCTTTGAGTTGACATTTTGAACAGCATTTACCCATGCTTTAAAATTAAAGAGAAACGGATTAAATGGTTTTATGCAGTGGTATTTAAAAAATTCTTTTATATATGCAATTAACTAAATTTGGGTTTCTTTAAGATACTAAAATTGTTGTTTATATATTCTGTACAAAATGGTGTGTGTGTGTGTGTGTGTTTCGTTACCAAATATATAATCATTTGTAAAACAGTATCATCTATGTCACCGTTTTTTTATTATCTGTCGTTTCATCTATCGCTATTAAATCGGATTTCCCACGTGTTCTTAATATTACAACCCGTGTGAATCTTTTATTGTTAATTAGCAAATAAGAATCTTAAGAATCTACAAAATCACTCCGAAACAGTTGTTTCCTTTCGTATAATTTAAACGATAATATGTAATAGATAAAATCATTACACTCAAATGACTAAAATCTTGTGTGAAACATTGTCAGACCCTGCATGTGGTCACCCTTTCTCTGCATTAGTGTTTGCGATCGAGATATCACTGTTTAACATTTAATTGTTGTCCTGTGTATGGTAAGATGTATACTTTGTAAGATGATGTGCATAGAAGATAATCATTTATGTTAAAAAAGGAAATCAACAAAACGTGATCATAAACATTGACACGCAATTTTGACGTAAAATTAACAATGAAAACAACTTCGAACCGAACAGATTTGCGGCTGTTCTTTTAAGAGGATTATATACTTTTGCCAGGTTTGATTCGAATAAATTCTTTTTTGCAAAAGTAGCCATTTTTTTTATTCTTAAACTTAGAATATCCTTCATGTGTGTTATTTTCTATTTTATGCTAATGAGAAATTTAATTCGTTATGATGATTGGTTAACATGATTTATTTAATCTCAATTTGAATTAATTTTTTATATTTTTAAATTTTTGAAGGTGATGGATGACGTAAAATTTCATGCATTGTTGGTCAAATTCGGATATTTTACATCATCGATATGCAAACTTCATAAATGATCATAAAAGGCTAGTAGGGATCTAGTAAACTAGTTTCGAAATCTTTTATCGTCACATAACATTTTGAAATGCCACCAATGAATTGCTTATTCAAATAAAAGACCTGATTTTTGTTATTCACGAGTTATGTAATATCTTGGTACAATGTGGTTTTTTTGTTTAACCTTTTTGTTCGTAATCTCATGTAAGAATTGCCCCAGCAATGAATAAATGTTTCATTTAACAGTTTTTTATGTTTCACATAATTTTATTGCTGTAGTCAATTTTTGATAAATCTTGTATTAAATTGTTCGTTACTGATAAAATGCACTGTTTATTTGATTTGAAATGTTTCTTTTTGAATTACGATTTTAAACTCAGAAGCTTTGGCTAATTAACTTCTGGATCGATTCTTTTGATAATTCTGTGAATTAAATAACGTATTTTAACGGAATCCGGATTTCGGTTTATATCCTCAAACCATTACATGTTTTCTTATTAAATAATTTTGTGGATTAATTAGTAAATTAATCAATTTATATAATTTATACTTTGAATTCACGTAATGTGTTTATATTGATATATAAACATAGATATTTAAAATGGTAACGATACGTAACGTTATAGTAATGTTAACTAATTTCCTTAAAAAATGTCATTGTAAAAAAAATTCACAGAATAAACTTACATAGAAATTCAATAATAAACCATTTTAAAATATATGTCAATCTCATAAATGACATGAATGCTTTCTTTAATGTATGTCGTTTTCTAAGAACAAAACGACTTACGCCCAGGATAGACGATAATAATAACAAACTATCGCTACATACATGCACATGTACTATCGCTATGCGCATAATATTTGATTATGCACGCTTTTGCCCATCTCTATAACCATATGTATATAAATGGCAATCGTTATCTTACTATCATTTCAACCAATTCACGCATTAAAGATGGAATCATTGCAATGCATGTTATGATTGTCGAAATAATTTCTATTGCGATGACTGTTTTTCAATATCACATAAGAACTTATAGCGATGAATTGTCTAGCGGAGATAAAGATATCGACAATTTAATAAAAGAATGCAACAAATTCATCATAAATATTATGTACATGTATATACTATATGTTCGAATGGATTCCTTTTGAAAGATTTATCAACGTTGAATTTTTTGCAAAAGGAGGTTTTGGGTCAATTTATAAAGCAACCTGGTTGGATGAACATTAAATGAATATTATAATAAGTGGTGAGCATAAAAAAAAATAAATGGAAACGAAAAGGAGAAAGTAAAGTTGTGTTGAAATCATTGCACAAATTACAAAAAGTAAACATTTTTTAAAGTGAAAGTTGCATTTTATTTTCTGATACAATCAAAATTTTTCAAATAGATTCAGACTGCTCTTAAATGTCGAAATGGTTTTCTTCGTTATTATGGAATAACCAAAGATACAGACACAAATGAATAGTCGATAGTGATGGAATATGCTGAAGAAGGTGCTCTCCGTAAAGATATTAATTCCAACTGCGAAACAAAAATTAGGATATTTATATTGGATTATCAATAATTTAATAAAATTCACACAGAGAAATTCATACATCGTGACTTACATCCTGGAAATATATTAATGTATAGAATAGAAATTAGTCCTCAAATTGTTGATTTTGGACTTAACATTTCAACATATACATGTGTAAGAAAATCTAAGCAAGAAATTTGTGGCGTCTCTTATATAAGTTCAGACGTATTAAACGGAAAGCCATACACTAACGCAGCAGATATTTATACTTTTGGAATTTTTTTTATGAAATTGTAACAGGTGAACGACAATTTGGTGAGCTCACGATCATTATCTTATATCGAAACTTATAAAGGAGTACGACCCACAATATTAAATAATGTTCCCGAATGGTGCAAATTTGTTATTGAAAAAATGTTGGGATCCTATTCCAAAAAACAGACCAACTGCTATCATTTATGACGATGATGATGTGTGGGAACTGAATATATGTACTTTGCATTTTCGATACTACAGCTATTTAAAAGAAATCAAAGAATGGCTTATACAAGAGAGGCAGAACTTGATGAGAAGATAAAATCATTTTACGATAAACAAAAAAAACTAAATTTTTACTTCAAAATTAATAACAATCCCAACTGATATTAGTATACTTATTTATTTGTATATTCAACATTCGAATTTGATTTACATGTAAAATACAGTATATCGATATCCCATACGTGTTTAAGTTATATAAGTGTTGGTTTGTATGTTCCGAATGAAGGTAAATGTATTACATGTAATGTATACAGCATGATATTTTTTAGATCTTGTTTATATGCAATTCTAGAATATGTAACTACAGAATTTGGATATCGATGATGCCACATCTAAAAGTAGGGTTTAATTGGAAAATTTTTCGTCTGGGATCAACTCATCTCTGAGTTATTGTTTAATCTCGATTTCGGCATGAGACCTATTGTTTTCTATGTAAAATCATTAAATTAAAGTGCATTAAAATTTTCTTGGGAAACCCAACTGTGAAGTTACTGAAATTGATTTTTCAAGATTCCCAACTTTGTCATATTGATGCCAATTGGGAACCGCATATAACGTAGACTGCTTAAATAAAAATGTTGGTTATTTCGAATACATGCAATGAATTTTGATTTGAATTTGCAAATTTCAGTTCAGTTTAGAACACTAATAGCGAATCCCCCCCCCCCACTTTCGTCACAAATAATCATCGTCCGGCAAAAGTTTATTTATAGAATTCTATAACTAATAAAAAAGGTAACTGTTATTCACACTAGGGATCTGTATGCACAGCACTTGTAAATGATTTAGGTGCACAGTCATGACTTGATTTTAAATTTTGTAGCGCAGACACAGACATTTTAAATGACGCTAGCTAGTGCTTTGCATGATGACTGGCATAAAACCTCTTACACATTAGCAAAGAGATATTACTTTATTTAATTAAGAAGTCGCCTGCGGATTATCTAGAGTTTATACCAAATCTGATTTTTGCAGTGGTAGTAATATACATTTTCTTATTTTATTTTTGCTATCAAGATGAAATTTTTGAAAATCTATTCTTTGGTCAAATGTGATTCTTTATCTATAATACCACAATAACAATGCATTCCATTGGAAACCTCACGTTTCTAATCATTATTTCTCGAACGATAACCCAATGATCGGCTGGGTTATTCTGACACGATTATTATGAAGTCCAAGTTTCATGTTTACGTTCTTAAGTTTTTCATTTTCATTAAGCCTTCATTTATTGTATGCTATTTTTAAAGGGTGCGATTTTCAAAATGATGTGCATAGCGATAGCGTTATTTCAAGAAAGTATGATAATTTATCAAATTATTACTAACCTTAAAACATATAATGTATTTACAAATGCAAAGTACAAATACGAAGTTGAAATGTAAATACGAAGGTGAATGTAATGAGGTTAAAATGCAAACATGTAGATTCAAAAGGTGAAAAGTACGCATAAAGTCTAATTTAGCATTTCTTTTGATAATATGATAATCCGATACTTGCTAGCATGTGCTAAAATATTGTGGTACAGGCATTAACCTAGCGCTAGGCGGAAATTCTGGGTGCAATAAAAAAAGATAAGCACTTGGATCTGTTCAGCATGATGTCAATCATGCACACTTGCAGTATCCTAATACCATGCTTTATATCATATGATATGAAATTGCCGGATGTTTCCGATTAATATATGAGTAATGCCATATATGATCTCTTTGGGACTAAATATCTCAAAATCCCATGGTGGAAATCAAATGTACTGCCCACCATTCGATTTACAGAACTAGAAATTCAAGTGGTATAATTTATGCTTGATTTCCGTCACTGGGTCTCAAGATGTTGAGTCTCAAAGAGGTTGTACGAGAAATTTTGACGATTACATCTTTGAGGCTTAGTAACTTGAAATGCAAATTATGAAAATCAAGTGTAAGATGCCGTAGAAATTCGAAATAAGCTATCTTTTTTGCACAATTTTCCAAATAATTTTT